GCTTAATGTACTATATGTAAATGTGTTTTTGAAGCTTTCTTTGTTGTTTAGGTAACAACAGAGATGGAACGCTTGCGTTGCACAAAAGTGTTGGAACTCCCTTTTGAGCTGCATCTTGCGGACGAGTACAATGCCTCCGTGTACTATCAAAACATTCAAAGCTTGAGGTCAAATTTTGCAGTTTTTGCGACAGACGAAAGTTTATACCGATGTCATTTTATTTTCCTTGTGGAAACTTGGCTGAATAGCACAGATTCTTCAGATTCGTTTAACATTCAAGGATTTAACATGGATCGTGATGACTTTGAATACAACGTTTCGTCGAGCAGACAACACACTGGTATTGTTTGCTACATCAAGAGTGACATTTATGCTGAATGTGATGTTCACTTTTTGATGTATCAAAATGTTCAATTCTGCATCGTTCGTCGTCACCTCTCTGTATTGATATGCGTGCACAGACGTCGCTCTGCGACTACTGACTCTCAACTGCGAACTGCCTTGCGATATTGTCTGGATATGTACACTTGCAACGAGGTTGCCACTGTTATGTTTGGAGATTTTAATGAGAATGTGTTGATGCAGTGTAGTCTTCCACGGTTTTTGCTTGATGGATGGTCACTGCGCTCACTAATCGCGCAACCAACTACAAACGATAATACATGTTTAGATCATGTTTATTCCAACCTGTTGGAGACAAATGTATGCGTATACGAAAGCATTGTTAGTTTTCATAAACCTATTTTTAATTTCTTTCACTATCCTTAATTGATTGTTGATGTATCTGATGTCTAGCTTTCTATTAAGAAGCTGTGGAGTCTGTCGATTAGTGTGTTTCCCTTGGAATGTTTTATTTTTTTTTGCGTTTAAGAAACTTGTTGATAAAATGGATGGGCCAACTACACCCAAGCGTGCCAGATTAGACAATGCAAGTTCAGCAGCACAATCGCCCGCGAGTCCATCGAATTCGCCGACATGTGGTTTCTTACATGCAGTGAAAGGGTTGCGAGAAAAGGGAGCAAACTCCTTCTTTGAATTTCACATACAAACAGAAAACGACGTTCTGCGAGGTCTGTGTTTTGACAAATCAAAACACAGCGTATTTATGAAATACTCATCCGAGAAGACACCCGTTTCAATAAGCGCGGCACCAAAATCGGATAAACGGGATCCAGGCCAAATGGTACTGATGGTTGGCAGTTATACCAAAGTCAGTGGAACGTCGTCTGTACAGCATTTATGGCAAAAATTTGAAAATCCCAATTTTGTGCGTGCAGTATTCTTCTTACACATATATATCCTTTATTGAGGTGGGAATAGATATTTATGTTTAGCCCATTGTTTAGATCACTGATTTTTCAAATATGGATGCACTTGTCGACAGGGAAGTTGCTTTTGACTGCGTAATTATAAGCAGAAAAGTAGAGCATCTCCCTAATCACGAGTTGAATGAATTGCAAGTTGCCACCAAGACTGGTGAAAGGGTGACTGTCAATGTCTGGGACCCTATACATGACATCCACACGCCGTCAACCATTGTCACAGTAGACGGTCGCGTGAAACTGTTCAACGAAGAACCTGTCGTTAACGTGACTTCTTGCTAAATCGACTTTTTATATATTTTGCATATGTTTTCTGATATTCAATTCAGGCTCTTTCGATTGTCCCAACAATGGACTCCAATGGCGAATTCGAAAAGGTGAAAGAAACACTTGCCGATGATGCGGTCTCTTGTGTTACCGAAGTTGTCCAAGTTGTGTCGTGGGGCATTCAACAATCAAACCACGACACCTGCTCCTCGTGCAACATCAAAAATGTTGAAGTCATTGAACTTAGCAAGATGTGTAATTCAGACAATGCTTTTGTATTGCATTGAAAACTATTGCATCGTTGTTGAATAAAAACTGAAATCATTTTCGGTTGCAGGGAAAAGTTCTGAAGTGCAAGAATCCGGCATGTGGACTTGTCAGTCGGGCACCAACGCCAAAAGATGTTGCACACGTTGTTATTAGTGACAAACGCCGGTTTCTGATAGATTTAAATCTTTTTCCCGCTCCATGCACAAACGAAGTAAGCCTGTCTGAGTTCTTTCTCGATAACCCGTCTATTACGCTCGAGTTCACCCAAGGCGTTGTATCACGTTTACACACCGCCTATTAGTAGTACGCTTAAGACTGCTTTACACTTTCTGGATGTCTAGTTGTAGACAAATTTTTGTTATGTCTCTCAAATGTACTCAAATCGTTCAAATGTACCTTGTTATATTTTTGATTGACTAGCAGTAGATGAGTTCTTTGTGATAATTTTCTTTGAATCTTTTTTGAAATTTACCATTACTGCATTTTATTCATTCTCTTAGAGGGTCACAGTTGACAATGCAGGTCACGTCGAAGAGTACGAGCATTTTGGACTACGTGTTTTAAGAATTTACAATCTGTTTTAATGTACGACCAATAAATTTTACACCTTAATTCTTAAAAAAAAACATTTTCAATTCTTCCCTTGCCATTCTGAACAGGTGGTTACAAAGTTTTAGCTAGTCACTGTATGATTTTCTGCCAGCAGCTCAACTGGTCTGTGTATACTTGTATTAGGTACACAGTTTTTTTTCAACTGCTGTGTATACTTGTATTAGGTACACTGTAGTTTCAATCAATTGATCTGTGTATACTTGTATTAGGTACACAGTTATTCTATTTCAACTTTTGTGTATACTTGTATTAGGTACACTGTAGTTTCAATCAACTGGTCTGTGTATACTTGTATTAGGTACAGTTTTTTTTCAACTGCTGTGTATACTTGTATTAGGTACACTGTAGTTTCAATCAACTGATCTGTGTATACTTGTATTAGGTACACAGTTATTCTATTTCAACTTTTGTGTATACTTGTATTAGGTACACTGTAGTTTCAATCAACTGGTCTGTGTATACTTGTATTAGGTACACAGTTTGTTTTCAACTGCTGTGTATACTTGTATTAGGTACACTGTAGTTTCAATCAACTGATCTGTGTATACTTGTATTAGGTACAGTTTTTCTATTTCAACTGCTGTGTATACTTGTATTAGGTACACTGTAGTTTCAATCAACTGGTCTGTGTATACTTGTATTAGGTACACAGTTTTTTTTCAACTGCTGTGTATACTTGTATTAGGTACACTGTAGTTTCAATCAACTGGTCTGTGTATGCTTGTATTAGGTACACAGTTTTTCTATTTCAACTGCTGTGTATACTTGTATTAGGTACACTGTAGTTTCAATCAACTGATCGTGTATACTTGTATTAGGTACACAGTTTCTTTAGTTTAACTGATCTGTGTATACTTGTAATAGGTACACTGTAGTTTCAATTAACTGGTCTGTGTATACTTGTATTAGGTGTAAAATAGGAGGCGTTTTGCTACACATACAAACACAATCTTTTGTATTTTATTATAGCTATAGAAATTGATCTACAATGCGTAAGTACGACATTTAGTTCTACGGTTGTTATTTCAGGTCCTTTGTCAAAATTTCAGGCTCTTTGTCAATATAGCAAAATTTTGGTGTATATATGTGTTAGTAAGATTTTTAGTTCTACAACGTTTATTCAGGCTCTTTGTCGATATAGCAAAATATTGGTGTATACATGTGTTAGTACGATTTTAGCTCTAGAATTGTTATTTCAGGCTCTTCGTCAATATAGCAATATTTTAGCGTATACATGTGTTAGTACCATTTTTAGTTCTCGAACTGTTATTTTATGATCTATGTCAATATATCAAAATTTTAGTGTATACATGTGGTTTTACGATTTTTAGTTCTCGAACTGTTATTTCATGATCTTTGTCAATATATCAAAATTTTATTGTATACATGTGTTAGTACCATTTTTAGTTCTCGAACTGTTATTCCATGATCTTTGTCAATATAACAAAATTTTGGTGTATACATGTGTTAGTACGATTTTTAGCTCTAGAACTGTTATTCCATGATCTTTGTCAATATAGCAAAAATTTGACGTATACATGTTTTAGTACGATTTTTAGCTCTCGAACTGTTATTTCATGATCTTTGCCAATATAGCAAAATTTTGGTGTATACATGTGTTCGTACGATTTTTAGCTCACGAACTGTTATTTCAGGCTCTTTGTCAATATAGTAAAATTTTGGTGTATACATGTGTTAGTACGATTTTTAGTTCTAGAAGTGTTATTTTATGATCTTCGTTGATATATCAAAAATTTAACCTATACATGTGTTAGTACGATTTTTAGTTCTAGAACTGTTATTTCAGGCTCTTTCTCGATATAGCAAAATTTTGGTGTATACATGTATTAGGACGATTTTTTGTTCTAGAACTGTTTTTCTTCAATTATTAGTTGTTCAAGTTGTTTGGTTTTTGCTTCAGTTTCTATGCCTTCGGTGTATTGCGCGTAGCGCCTATGTTCTTACAAAATGAGTTGAATCACTTGATGCTGCTATCGTTTATGATGCTGCGATTCTGACATGCTCAATTTCATGAAAATTCAAGTTAACTACTGGTTGGGTGCTAGTTACTACAGGCTAGTTTCAGGGGAGTTTTTAAAAAAAAATCTGTTTTTTTTTCGACTCAACTTGGTTTCTGCTCAAAGGTTGTCGGCCTTATTTCCGCTTCGTAGGTTTTGTTCAGTTGCTAATTTGAATTTGAAATATCTTTCTTTGCATATTTGCCTAGAATCCTTGTTTAATAAAGCAGGTATTAGGAAAGTCTGAGATTTGGTTTTCCTTATTATTTTTTGAGACGTTTTGGAAAATTGTATCAATTATTGCAAAAAGTATTGTTTTTTTTTCAAAACCCATTAACCAATTTTTTTAAAAAATGGTATCAATGGAAAGACCGCCAACATTCTTGTTTGCTTGAATACGCTCCTCTGGTCTCCTTTTGCCGTACTTTTTTTTTGTCTACAGCCTTCGAAAAAAACTGTGGGGTAATATTTAACAGATTTTTTTGATTTTTTTTTCGTTTTCTCACAAACTAACTTATTAAATATGAGATTTTAGTTTCAATGGTTAGATTGGATTTGAAAAACTCCCCTTCATAATCAGCTACACTCAAACTTCTTTAACACTTAAAGATATGGCTCTCAGAAAAGTGAAAATTTTGATTTCGTTTCACCGTGTTTTGAATGTTTTTTTTTGCTTTTCTCGAGAGCTAACCTCCCAAAACTGAGGTTGCGGGTTCTATGGAGATAACGGGTAGTGAAAAACTTTCCTGTATTAGCGTCCAAACGCAAAGTTATCGTCCTCGGAAAAATCAACTTTTTGATTTTTTTGAGCGTTTTTTCTAACACTTTTAAATCTAACTAAAACTTACCTTCCCAAATCTCAGATTGTGGGTTTGATCAGAAGAAAAGGTTGTGGTTAGCTCGTTTTCATACCCGACTGCGCCCAAATATTTTTGACACAAAATTATGACCCACAGAAAAGTCAAAATTTTGATTTATTGACCGTTTTTGAAATTTTTTGACTTTCTCGAGAACTACCCTGCCAAACTTGGGTTTTTGCAATCAATCGAAATTATAGATTGGGTAATTTTTTTTGCATAAGCGGCTACGCCCAATTTTAAATAAAAGCCACGATTCTTGGTAATGTCAACTTGCTGATTTGTTAACAGTTTTTTGGACTTTTTTTGATAACTAAACTGCCAATTCTGATATTATTTAGTCAATTGACACAGCAGGTTGTTGGAAGCTTAACTTATAACTTCCAACGCCCAATTTCTTTAAGTTTATTTTTTTTGAACCAGTGAAAGTTTTGAAACGTGACCGTTTTTTGGAAACATTTTGTCTCCACTCGAAAATTACCGCGCCAATTCTCAGGTTAGGTGTTCAATCGAGAAAGCCGATTTTGGTAACTTTCTGTTCTTTATCGGCTGTGACCTGTTTTTGGCAAAAAAAAATGCAATTTTCAGAAAATTTTTTACATTTTCTAAAAAGCAATCCTTTCAAATTTGAGATGAAAAATTCAATCGAAAGAAGCGGTTTTCGCGAGTAACTATAAAACAAATTATACAAACAAACAAATATAAAAACAAACGCATCGGTATAACAAAATTTAAAAATATAAAACACATACCTCCAGTTTAAGCTGGGCCCAAGGTGCCTTCATCAAGACTTGCGAAAATTTTTGGTTAACCTAGTTTTTTTTGTTCAACTTTCATTTTTTTCCGATTTATGTTTTTTAATGATTATTGTATCGCTCGTCTTTGTGTAAATAAATACGCGAAAAAAATAAATAATTTACGCAGGTTATCTGCAAAGGTATAACTATCGGGTACTGGACTTTTTTTCCTGGCATTTTTTGTTCACAGGACTGATCAACTTCTGGAGGTACCTTGGTTCATAACAAATTCAAATTTCTTGCTGCGTCCTGCATATTCAGCCTGGCGGTAACGAGTACGCCTGGAAAGGCAAAACTCCTTGATTGGAACAGTAACAAATATGGTTTTAAAAAAATTTGGCATTTTATTTGTCTGCTTATGATTTGTCGGCTTAGTTGCCGGATTTATCAACTGTCTCTTTTTGGTGCAAACAAATTTCAATATAGCTGTTTTAAGTGTCACAACTTTTTTGTATTTTTTGCAATTTAATCCGTTTTGGTTATTTACACCAGCGAATTTTAGCGAGCGTTAGTGTTATAATTACGTTTGCAATTAGCAAGCGTTATCAAACTGGAATATAGACTTTTTTCTATATGCATCATTTGCTGAAATCAGTTGAATCGTTTGCTGGCTATGCAGCTGATTTCTTTTCATTCCTCTTCTCTTAAAATCGTCCTTATTTCATTTTCCCTGGTCTGGAGGTTCAGCAGTTTTCCTTTGTACCCTAAGGTCTGGGGCTCGAGTCTTGGCCGGACTTTTTTTTCTATATCAAAATAAAAAAAGTATCCGAGAAAATGAATTGTTGTTTCATCGTTTATTCTTTTTGTCGGCTTAACTGCCCCAACGGATTTTGCTTGTGCTGTATACAATTTTCATTGTAGTATCAAATGCAAGTGTTGTTCATTCCAAGTCCAGGGAGGGGCTAAGAACTATTTAAAAATAATATAAAAAATTTTTTTTTTCATAAAATTTTTTTTTTTCGGTTTATGTTTTTTAATGATTATTGTATCGCTTCGTCTTTGTGTAAATAAATACGCGAAAAAAATAAATAATTTACGCAGGTTATCTGCAAAGGTATAACTATCGGGTACTGGACTTTTTTACCTGGCATTTTTTGTTCACAGGACTGATCGACTTCTGGAGGTACCTTGGTTCATAACAAATTCAAATTTCTTGCTGCGTCCTGCATATTCAGCCTGGCGGTAACGAGTACGCCTGGAAAGTCAAAACTCATTGGTTGGAACAGTAACAAATATGGTTTTATAAAAATTTGGCATTTTATTTGTCTGCTTATGATTTGTCGGCTTAGTTGCCGGATTTATCAACTGTCTCTTTTTGGTGCAAACAAATTTCAATATAGCTGTTTTAAGTGTCACAACTTTTTTGTATTTTTTGCAATTTAATCCGTTTTGGTTATTTACACCAGCGAATTTTAGCGAGCGTTAGTGTTATAATTACGCTTGCAATTAGCAAGCGTTATCAAACTGGATTATAGACTTTTTTCTATATGAATCATTTGCTGAAATCAGTTGAATCGTTTGCTGGCTATGCAGCTGACTTCTTTTCATTCCTCTTCTCTTAAAATCGTCCTTATTTCATTTTCCCTGGTCTGGAGATTCAGCAGTTTTCCTTTGTATCCTAAGGTCTGGGGCTCGAGTCTTGGCCGGACTTTTTTTTCTATATCAAAATAAAAAAGTATCCGAGAAAATGAATTGTTGTTTCATCGTTTATTCTTTTTGTCGGCTTAACTGCCCCAACGGATTTTGCTTGTGCTGTATACAATTTTCATTGTAGTATCAAATGCAAGTGTTGTTCATTCCAAGTTCAGGGAGGGGCTAAGAACAATTTAAAAATAATAAAAAAAAATTTTTTTTTCATAAAATATTTTTTTTTCGGTTTACTTGGTGTCTGCTCAAAGACTGTCTGCTGAATTGTCACATCTTTGTTTTTTTTTGCTGTGAGCACTTTTCATTGTAGTTGCAAGTGCAAGTGCTGTTCTATCTACTTTCAAGGGGGACTTGAAAGATTTTTAAAAAAAAAGATCATTTTTTATCGATTCAAGTAGTTTCAGCTCAAAAACTTTTGGCTTGTTGCCACATCACTAATTTTTGCTGTGCTGTAAACAACTTTCCTTGTGGTTTTAGGTGCAACTAATGTCCATTGCTGTTTAATGTGGGTACTTACACTTTTTTTTCGCTCAGCATGTGTCTGCTCAAAGACTGTCAGCTTTGTTTCTTTTGGTATACTTTGTTACGTTGTTGCTGATTTTAAATTCGAATGACCGGCATGTTTTCATTTTTTTTCGGCTTTTTATGTTTTTATGTTTTTGTTGTATCACAAGTGGTGCTAAGCTCCGCTTCGCTTCTGTGTACAGCTTTTAATTTTTTTAAATCTAAGTCACAAATACTGGTGCCATTTTAGCTGACGTTTTTAGGGCTTTTTGATAACATGTGCTTTCGAATTGTAGTAAATTTTATTTCATCGAATGAACCGAAAAAGCTATTTGTTTCAAACAATAAAACGAAACCGAAACAATCAAAAGAAACCAAAAAAATCTATTTTTTTTTTTCAAAAAAATTCTATCTCAAAATATCTCACAATTTTTAAAAAGCATAATTTATACTCAGCTTGGCTTTATGCTTTCCACTTTATTACACGCAAAGTTAGTGTTGATGCCTTCAGTTTGTTATGTTCTAAATTATTACTTGCAAAATTGTGTCTTTTTTGATTTGGTCCCACATTTGCAGCATCGCATTTGCAGAAGACCAAGTGCAATGATCAGGGCTACCCTCTATGAAGTTATCAATATTTGCTATCAAAAACTTACCAAGCCAATCCATGTCTAAAAATGACAGATTTCTTCAATTGAACTAGTTTTCTCAATCCACTTGAACGAGTGAGAAAAAATGGAGTTTATTAAAATTTTCATGCTGAGTATTTCAACTTTGTCGCTGCGAGTGTTTCATGTCGCATGAACGACTTTTTTTACTCCGTTTGTTTGAGAAAAATAACTACGATGCAAACTCTAGTGCAGATGAAAAAACCTGCCATTTTCAGACCCGGATTGCATTGGTAAGTCTTCGAAACCAAATTTTGATAACTTCATAGAGGGTAATTCCGATCATTATCTCTGGTTCTATGTAAAAAAAATTGCAGACAATTAAAATACATGTTGACCTAAATGGACAAAAAAACCGAGAATTTAAATAGTAAAAACGTGAATTTGCGCTTAATTTTCTCCACCAGTGAAAATGGTTTTCGTGGATACTGTTTGGGCTGTATATGTAAGCTTTCAATAAAATTTTGACGACCAATTTGGTTTCTTTTCAGCTAATTGGCTGTCGGCTTCATATCTGTCGGCTTATTTACCTAATATTTTGTTTCCTACAGTTTTCTGGCTGACACTGTTTATGAAATTATTTAGTTTTTGCTCCAAGTTTAAACTTTTGAATGCTCAAATTCAACCCATCTTGGAACTCTTTAAAAAATTCATTAAGTTTAAACATAGAAAAATTGATTTTAGTTTTTTTTTTGTTTTTTTTTAGTTGTTTCCTCTGCTAGTTGTTTCTCCTCTTTGATAGTTCTTGAGTGTCTTTCTGCTTTAATCCGATACTTGTTGTATCGCAGCAAGTAGTGTGAAGCTCAGCTTCGCCTCTGTGTTGATGAAAATTATATCAAAAGAAGCCTCTCACTCAGCTCAACAAAGTTCTAGAAGTGCAAAACTCTTAAATCTGTATTCGAAATTTTTTTGTTTGCTTGATTTAAAAAAGTCATTTCACTATAAAAAAAACTCGAATGCTTTGTTAAAAACAGTTTTCAATTTTGATGTGCATTTTTTTTGGAGATTTTCAGGCCACCAGTGAGATTTGTTTACGATGCTTCTTTTGATA